GAACTAATCTTTCTGGAGATGTCGATGGTAGATCTCGAAATGGTGGAGAAGTGAAATGTCAAGGAGTGAAAAATGCAAGTGTTTGAAATTGCGAAATTTGTGACTGCATTGTATGATGGCAAAGTTGTTGCTGAAGAAACAAACTTGGATAAAAAGTTTGCTTTTTTCAACGTAACTTGTGAGAAGATTGCAATGGCTGCATCGATCGGTAGTGGACATTGGCAGAGCTTTTACTTGTGATTCAAGCAGTAGCATGAGCGATTTTTCAGGACAGCCTTTGTTTGTTTGTTTGTTTATTTCACTTGACGACGAGCCCAGTATTTTCTAATAGTGTTGATATCGTCGAAGTGTGAGGCAGGTTCCCAAGTATCATCAGCTTCATCATAGCCAGCCCATCTGACACGATATATGAATTCACCAGGCTTAACTTCTTCATGGTCAATTACGGCTTCGATTTCGTAGGTGTCTTGATGTGATTCGAAAGGTACTTCTCTTGAGATAATCTTTATTTGATCAGGTGGGACATCACGAGCAGCGAGTGCACCAGTACCATCAACCAAGGTATAACTACCACCTCTTGTCTTAGCCTTGACAGTATAGTTGCCGACATAAGTAGGTTGTTCTTTTGCAGTCTTGTTCACATTCTTAATCTTGACTTGGCTTCCTAAAGGTATATCGATGATCCTATGAGTGCTGTTGAACTTATCTTGAGCAGCTTGTTGTGAAGTTTTGATTTTTTCACGTATAGCAGGTAAAATTCTTTTGTTGAAATCCTCGAGTTGTGCTTCATGTTGTTTTCTGGCAGCAGAGGTCTTGGTCTTATCAGAAACGTTGGCATAGTCTTTGTTATCAATTGAGCGTCTGCAAAACATGACGTCAAATGGTCTACAGCCATGAAGGGGTGAGATAGTATTATTCAGGGCTTCTTGAGTGCTGTCAAGGTATAAATCCCAAATGTCACTTCTGCCTTGCATACGTTTGAAGATTAATGACTTGGTTTTACCTACCCAACGTTCAGCTAAACCGTTAGCTTGCGGGTGATAAGGTGTAATCAAGCGATGATCAATGCCAGAGTTTTCAATATAGAGATCGACAAGTTTATTGACATATTCTGTCCCGTTATCACTTTGGATGATTTTAGGACGACCGAATAATGAAAATACATTTCTTAACGTAAGAGCGATTGTTAAGGCGCTTTTGTCAGGCATAGCTCTAAGGACGCAGAATCTGGAAAATACGTCGACTATAACTAGAATATACTTGTTGTCTCCATTGATAGAAGGTGTAAGTGGGCCAGCTGTGTCAATACAGATGTGGTCCCAAGGAGCATCAGCGTAGATTGACCTAAGAGGATGGTAACCGTGTTTTGCCCGATTATAACTTTGACAGTCAGGACAAGAATTAACAGTTTCTAATGCATGCTGTTTGAGGTTTTTCCAGTGGATTCCATCACTGTGTAAAGCTGTAACGATAGCTTGTGCACCTCTATGACCTTCAAGATGGGTTTTAAGAAGTAGTTCTTGTCTTTGTTCCTGATTTGGCGTAACTGTATCAGAAGGTGACAACATGCGGCTAGTCATTATAGGTGTAGCAATGTTGGTATGTGCCATCTGATTAGGTGGAGAACTTGCCCCGGCCAGCGTGTTTTCAGGTTCGAAAAGACGCGATAAAAGGTCTGGTAGTACATTTTGGATACCAGGTCGATGAATCACTTTGAAGTCATAATCCAGTATAGTATCAAGCCAATTAATGATCATAGCATTAGCGACTGGCTGAGTATGGATGTAGGTAAGTGCCTTGTGATCTGTATAGAGAGTGAAAGGACGACCCCATAGAAATGGATGAAACTTCTTTAGTGCGAAAATGATACCAAGTAATTCCCGTTTAGTGACAGAGTAGTTTTTTTCTGCAGCAGTGAGGGAACGAGCCATAAAACCGATGTATCTGTATTTACTATCGATGAATTGGTAGAGAACAGCGCCAATTGCATAGTTACTAGCATCAGTGGCCACGTAGAAAGGGTAGCGCATATCGGGATGATGCAAGATAGGTGCAGACATTAGCAGTTGTCGGATTTTTAGAAAGGCAGTATCGTGTTCAGTGGTCCATAATTTGTCATTGAGTTTGCCTGCAAGTCTGAGTTTGTCCAAGGGAGCAGTTATTTCAGAAAGTTTTGGCAGATAACGACGAAAGTAGTTGACAAGACCTAGGAAACGCTGAATATCTTTTCCAGATGTGGGTTTGGGCCATGATAAAGCGTTGGATACTTTACGAGGATCAAGTCGAGTACCAGAGGCGTCAACACAGAAACCAAGTAAATGAACGCAAGTTTGAGCGAAGTGGCACTTGTCTGGGTTAAGAATCAGATTAACTTTGGTCAGCTTGTCAATGACTTGTTGTACATGATGAATGTGCTCTTCATAAGTCTTGGAATAGATGATAATATCATCCACAAAAGCTTGTGCGAAGTTAACATCACGAAGTACAATATTGATTACACGTTGGTACCGAGAAGCAATGTGTCGTAAACCAAAAGGACAACCTCGAAATTGGTATTGTTGGCCTTCAAAGGTAAAAGTAGTCTTGACACGATGAGGCTCATAGATTTGAAACCGATGGAAAGCTTGACGGAGATCCAGAGTAGTGAATATAGTGGAACCAGCTATAGACGATCAAAGATTTCATCAACTTTTGGAATAGGATGACGATCATTTACAGTTAAAATGGAATTGAGTAGACGAGGATCTAAACAAGGGCGATGACCTGTAAGATTACCCAGCAGATCTTTTTTGGGTGCAACCGTCAATGGGGAATTCCAGTCAGCATTTGGGGATGCTCTTTCGATGACTCCATCTTTTAACCAAGTATCAATGCATTCTTGCATAATTGGTTGAATTCGAAGGGGAAGTCTATAAGGTGCGCGATAAGCAGTTTTTCCTGGTTCTGTGTCTAAACGAATGATGGATTCGGGTACAGTACAGAAAGAATTTTTAGGAATGGCGGCATTTTTCTCGAGAAATGGAGTGATTGAAGCCATGAAATCCTGTTGTTGCTTTTCAGAACCGTAAGGAGAATTATTAGGTTCTGGTGTGTCATCAATAATCTCTTTGTCAATAATAGGTCCATTGTATGGGTGTTTAATAGCTAAGTTGGTAATCAAAATATTCAACTTGGGAAGCAAATCAAGACCAAGAACAACTTTAGTGCCCAATGAAAGAGGTAAAACTTCGAAAATATGTGATGTGTGGATAATGTTCTTATCGTTATCACCGTATACAATGTTTAGGGGTTTAAGAGTAGTACCAATACGATCAATTTTCGTGTCTGAGGTAGCAAGATCAAAAGTGCCAAAAACATTTTTATTAATATGAATGTTATTATTATTAGCAAATTGTATATCTATAGAGCTAAACGACGCGCCGGTGTCAACCAAAGCGAAGGTATTGACGTTTTCTATAGTGATAGGAACAATTAAAGAATGGTTATTAAGATCAAGTTCATTCTGTTGTTTGCTAATAGTAGAAAAGATTGGCTTACATTCATGGCTAATGGGATAACCGCGTTCATCGGAGGCGATGGTAGGGGCTTCGGCCATTTCATGGTCACCAGCTTCTTGTAGTTCTCCAAGTGATGCTGCCTTACTCCAGCGAGATGCAGCGGTGCCGCGAGACGGATGGAGTGTGCGGAAAGCACCATTGGAAGGTTGCTGTCTGCTTGCATATCGTTTATCGCGTGTACAGACTGCAGCATGTGCCCTTGACCAAGGAACATTAGCTGAACAGTTTCTGCATATGGACGATGTTGATATGGTAGTGGGAGCAGGTTTAATGGATGCTGTGTTTGTGGTAGCAGTAGTAGCAGGGGCGGTATTGCCAAAGATTTCCTTGTACCTCTGACATTTATCTGTAGGATGGTTACAACGTCCGTGAATCTTGCAGTGATATTGTTTGTTTTTGGAAATACCAGCAGCAGAAGAAGACTTTGACATCCCGAGATTGGCAGCGGAAGGAGAAGGTTGATTACCACGTGAATCATTCTTGACGGAAGCGGAACGAGCAAAAGGGAGAGGAGTAGTATTGCCTTTTTTGTCAGCGGAGGTATCGGAGACACCAGCAGAAGAATTAAAACAAATTTTTGAGGAGAGAACCAAGCGAGCTTTGGCAGCTACTTTGCCAACGGAATCCTGTTCATTGCGTGGTAAGTTCAAGAGGGAACGAGCAACTTCACGGCGTAGAGACTCAGGTAAGGCACGCTTGAAAATGGTTGCAGTTCTCATATCATCTTCCCATTTTGCTGCTCTTCTAATACGCTGGAAGCGATCCGTAAACGATTCAACAGCTTCGGAAGGGTTCATCCTGAGGGATAACAGCTTGTCCATGTTATCTAATTCGTGCGCAACATCCTGGGCGGCATAGGTATCAATAACGATGGACCGGACTTGAGACCAGGAGAGAGAACGACCCTTCAAATTGGAGTAGAACCATGATCGTTGATCACGGTTCATTCGGATAGGCATGAGTCTTGACCAGCTTTGATCAACGTTGAGACCATTGGAGTCAATAGTGATATAAAAGATTTCCAGCAGGTCTTCTGGAGGACTGTAACTTTGTTGCCGTCGGGGTTTTAAATCCAAAATAGGAAATGCTCTATTCTGGTCACGTGACAAGAGCTAATTGCAATAGCCTATCAGGTTGGTTAGAAATTAATCATGATGATGATTCGAAATAGTGGTGTGGTTAAGGCTCTGAGCTCCCACGCTGCAGGTCGCGGGTTCGAATCCTGATGCTGTTCTTTTTTTTATGTATCGGTATTATCGTGAGACGTTTCTATATACTGTGCAGCTTTCGTAAAGGATAAGTAGTAACGCTATGTAAGCCACTGAAAAAGTTTTTTTTTCTTTTCAATTGAACTTTTTTTTTGTTTTCTCTTCCTTTTCCAACTTTTATCACATTTTTACGATAACTAACATACTTTTAACTATACAAACAACCATTTCTGCGATGTCCAACTTTGTTTTTGATTTGAATATGTCACCTGTCGATGAACAACAGTATATTTTGTCACAAAATAATCGTCAAGAACAAAGAAATGTCATTGAAATTTCATCTGATGAGGAAGAAACAGTTAACCAAGAAAATGAAAATCATTTAGAACAAAGTGAAAACGAAGGTTGTATATAGTCAACAACGCTCAATATGACAAAAACAATCGTTTTTACATTGATTCATGGTATTAACAGTCCAATAATAACGGCTTAGTAGCAACAGAAGACGAGCAACATACCTCTGAACAAGAAAATGATACGAATCTCAGTGACTTGAACAGTTATTGGTCTAAACATATTGTCAACCCTCTTCCTTCGTCAAGAAAGTTTCATAGGGATATTATTCCTACAGAAGAAGCATGCAATGAGTAAGTTATAGACAGAATAAGTGTGTAATAGGCTATCTATTGATCTTTTCTTTTGTTAGGTTGTTGAGATCAAATGGCATTTTCTATGGGCCAGAACAAGAGATGATCCGTTGCTCCGGTGGCTCTGCCATGCGTTATTATGAGCACCAACAACGTTGGAGATGCCATGGTGTCCTTAAAGAAGATGGCGCCAGATGTTGTAATGGCTCTTCACGAACTATCCGAGTGGATTCGTTTTTTTACAATCGCAATATTGAAAATTCGATCACGATGACGATATTATTCTACTGGGCTCATAACGTTGACCGGATGCATATAGCCGGTCTGGCTGAAGTATCTCCTGCGACGGTAAGAGCAGTAATAAATGACTGGTACCAGCTTTTGCAGGAGGATATCAAACTCGATGATTGCAAAGTTGGTGGATATGATTCTCATGGCAACCGGATAATTGTCGAAATTGATGAAAGCAAGTTTGGCAAGGTGAAATATTGGAGAGGTCATCGCGTTGAAGGCGTTTGGGTCGTTGGAGGGGTGGAAAGAACTGAAGAAAGGAAGTGTTTCCTTATTGTCGTTGAGAACAGAAACGAAGTAACCCTCTCCAGTATCATCGAACGTTTCGTCAAACCAGGCTCGCTAGTATATACTGATTGCTGGAGTGCATATCAGAATATTGCTGGAGTGCATATCAGAATATGGTGAATCTTGGAATGGACTTGGAACATCGCACGGTGAACCATTCTGTCACTTTTCGTGATGGTGATGTCTGTACTAACACGATTGAAGGTATGTAATATATCAGGTTCAACTATATTCATCAATTAATAACCGCTTTTTTTTTACGTTAGGAACGTGGGCAGGCATCAAAATCAACGTGGCTGCCAAATTAAGAACGAAGAAAATGATGCCATGGATGCTTATCGAGTTCATCTGGCGTAGAAAGCACCATGGCGACATTTGGAAAGGTATTCTGACCACCCTAAGGGACGTTAGCTTCAACCGCAGCCAAAGAAATCCTGCTTGGTTTACTGAAGTCGAACCGTCAGCTTGAAAAAATTAAATAAAATTGATTCATTATATATAACTTAACTCTATTCATATGTACCTACTTTAAATAAATATCTAAAATTTAAAACACAAAGTAGGTATTTGATAAATAGTAGAAACGTCTCACGAAAATAATCTAGGAAAAAAAAGGAGCACACGAGGATTTGAACCTGCGATCTGCAGTATGGTAGCGCAGAGCCTTAACCACACCGCTATTTCGAATCATCATCTGCTTAATTTCTAATCAACCTGATAGGCCGTTGCAATGATCTCTTATCACGTGACCAAAATGGAATATTCGAGAACATTTCCTATTTTGGATTTTAAATCCCGACGGCAGTAAAGTTACAATAAGCCGGTCTTCTACCGACTCATGTACCACTGCGTCAGCCTTCCACACGTTTCCTTGCCACTGCCAGTAAGGCAAATCTGAAGGAATCAGATGGTTCTTTTTGGACCAGGGCGCATCTGCTTGCTCAGAAGGGCAGGTACCAGGATGGGATGAGAGAGGTGTGGGTTTGGAGACAGAGTAGATATCTTCAAGAAACTTGATATAATTCTTGATACGTGTAGCTTCGTCACGCAGGATAGCCAATTCGCTGTCTTGTTGATTGGAGCAGACGCCATTAGCAATTTGACCAAGGAGAGAGTGCAATTTAATACGAAGAGATTCTAGTGCTTCCTCGGGAGCGATATCCTGAGATGAGGGATCAGATTCCTGCATGGGTACATCATGCATAGTAATACCATTATCGGCTTCAGTGCGTTCAACATCGGAAGAAGTAGAGGGAGAGCCAACGATGGGTAGAGAGGCATCACCGAGCTGAGGGGAGGCATGGTTACCAGGAGCACTTACTTCAATGTGTTTTTCTTGAGTAGGGATAGACATGATTGATAATAATATGTTATAGATAGAGGAATTCGTTCAAAAAAATGAGATATTCTTAAGTAATTTTGTAGACCAAGATAGAACGAGACCGAAAAAGTCAGATAATCTTTATTTCAATTTTGAGAACATGAAGGCTTTATATATTTTTCAGAGAGTTAGCTGAGCTTATAGAGGATGTTAGGAAGATGTAGTTACAACCAATGAGTACTAATGGATCTAATGAGAGATTAGTGAAGGCGTGTTCTAACACTGTTATGGATCTGATACCAGTTTGACTTGTGAACAATTGCTTAATCGACAATTCAAGTCTAAGATGACAGCCGTTTATGCTGTGTTTAAATTAATTAATTCTCACTCGTGTTTCGATACTGTAGACAGTGGTCGGGACATGACATTGAGGCATAAGTCTGTATATAGATATTGACAGAGACAAATAAATCCTGCAATACTTGCTATGTGACTATCCCATAATATGACATTAGTCTCTTCTGGTACTTAATCATTCACTGTTGAGATTACATATGGATAAATGATATATTCTTTATTGTCTGTGCATTATGAGATAATATTATTATAATAATAGAGTCCAATGCTATAGCATGTTCCATACATATTTTTATCCTAAGCCAGATAATATTAAGATAGATCCAATGGACATAATAGACTGAGGTATTCATGATATGAATGGCGCAGCAGAGACCTGAAGGTCGGATAAAAGATCTCTGGCTCAGCAACACCACTTGTATCAGGTATAGTGTAAAGAGGCAGGAGGCGATGATCCGACTGGAGGTTGGTGTTACTTACAACTCTGAACAGAAGGTACAACAAGATTGATTTATCCGTTGCAATAACAAAAGTATTAAACGAGCTTAAAAGATACCGTTTTATTAAATGAGAAGAGCGTTGTTATTTTATAATAATTTGTCTTAGATCATAGTGGTTATGTCTCAGTTTTCTTTAAAGAGTGGATTAGTTAAAGCATTGATGTGGATACATCACCACCCCTTCTCAACATTGAAATCGGGTATTGCATAATGACTTATTGCGCGGGACAAATACGATTCGAATTAGTGCCCTTGTGTATAGCATACATGGACATAGTTTGTGCTGTGGTTGATGTCGTTAAAAACCTTTTCATCCCCAAAACCTTAAATAAGGAAAAATGAAATGAACGAGGAAAAGACCCTCCAACCGTATAGAAATGGATCTAAGTACGTTTGAATTTCTTGCTCTTCTTGTCATTGTGTCTGTTTGTGGATCTACGCTTCATTTGAGAAGTATTTGCTGCTTCCTTTTGCTTTTTGCTTTCTTTTCTCCTACGAGTCCAATATTCATTGATGACTGTATTACTGTCAAAATCTGTGGGTTTCAACCAAGTTTGTTCATCAGGATATCCAACCCAAGTAGTCAGGTATTCAATATTTGCTCCTCTGCCTCTGTGGTCGATAATCCTATCCACTTCGTAAGTGTCTTTCTCCTCTTCAACTGAATCAGTAGGATTTACATCAATAATTTTGAGTTGGTCTATAGGGTAATTTCTAGGTGCATCTTGGTTGATTTTGTTCTTAAGTATATAACTACCGTGTTCTGTATATCCGCTGACGAAGTAAGGACCTTTGAAATTCTCATTAGGTTTAGCTTTCTTTTCGTCTACGTTCTTGATCATGACTTTTGTCCCAATAGGTAATTGTTCTTTTCGAATATTATGTTTTTTTACAAAGTATGCATTATCTTTCTTTTGGGTAGCCAGTATTTGTTCTTTGATCTCAGGTAGTGTATATGCATTGAATCTTTCGATGTTCTTTCGTAGTTCATCAGTATCCATTGAGTTTTCGGAAAACTCTATATTCATGGTGGAAGTGTAATCTTTTAGGTCATTAGCTTCTCTATTGAACATCACCTTGAATGGCTTTAGATGGTGTAGTCTAGCAATATGTTGATTAATCGCATACTGTATGTGGCACCGTCCAAATAAAGATCCCAAGATTCGGTATAGCCATTGAGCATTTTTAAGATAATTCCTTTTGCGGTTTTGACATGTGTTTCCAAATTACCCGCCGGATGGTACGGTAAAGAAATAGCACTGTCCATACCCATATGTTCTTTGAATGTTTTGATTAATTCATTATAGAATTCGGTACCTCTATCATGTTGTATGCATTTAGGATAGCCGAATAAGGAGAACACGCTAATCAATTCCTTACTAGCGACGTTTAAAGCTGATTTTGTCTGTAGTGCTCTGAGAATTACAAATCTGCTATATATATCTACAATAACTAGTACATACAGTAGTTATTTCCTCTAGGAGAAGTGACATCAAACGTTCCTAGGTCAATTGCCACTTTATCCCAGATGCCATTGGGACAATCACTCTTTGGCAAGTGGTAGATATGCTTTGCTAAGTTGAAGCGACTACACGATTGGCAGTTCTTTATAAATTTTGTAACATCTTGTCGTAGGTTCGTCCAGTTCATACCATGTTCTTCTTTAATTGCCCTTTCTGTACTGTTAATACCATAATGACCTATAGATGGCATTTTCGTATTATATCTTGCTTTTCTTCCTCAGAATTAGGAGTATTGAAATATGTATGTTTATGTTGCGTTATTTGATCTTCTCGATCACTGTTATCAGTGTCGGAATTGGAATAATTGTTAGGTACAGCAGCGGCAAACATAGGATCGGACTGTGGCGTATTATTGGCAGGGGAGAGCTCTTTCACTTTGCCTTTTCCTTTATTCTTTTTCTTTTCCTTCGTGGTCTTGTTCACGGAATTAGCTTCAACTGCTTTATGCCGAGCTTCACCCTTGGCCAGCCTTTCGTCTACATCTGGGTAGAGAAGGCGAGATAGATTATCGGCCAGTACATTCTTTACTCCAGCACAGTACGTAATGTCGAAGTTCATTTCGTAGATGGTTTCATACCAGTTCTCTATCATTCTGTTGATTCGTTCTTTGGAGTGCATGGTCAGCAACCCCTTGTTATCCACAAATAAATGGAATTTACGACCTCGTAACCACTGACGCCATTTCGTAAAGCAATATACTACTGCTAAAAGTTCGCGTCGACTTGAGCCATACTTCTGTTCTGCGGGAGATAATGTACGCGCATTGAAACTAATATAACGGTATTTGTCATGGATAACTTGGTACAAACAACCGCCTATACCGTAAGCGCTACTATCTGTTACAAGACACAGAGCATATTTTAAGTTGGGAGTTTGAATGATAGGAGCATTCACTAGTGCATTCTGTAACTTTCTCAATAGTTGGGAATGTTCATCTGTCCACACTTCCTGAATATTTGGATGATTTTTGATTTTGTTCAATGGAGCGGTTAATCTAGGAAGATTAGGAATATGGTCATGGAAATAATTGATTACGCCCAAACGATGACTCAATTCTTTTGAATTTTTTACAGTGTCTGGCCATTGTAGAATATTAGCAACTTTACGCTGATCCAAGATTAACCCTTGCTCAGATAAACAGTACCCAAGAATGTAAATAGAACTTTGAGCTACATGCAGTTTATCAGGATTGATGCGTAAATTATGTGCGGTTAATCTTTCCAGTACAGTTTGAACACATTTGACATGCAAGTTATAGTCATTTGCAGTACAAACAGTGATATCATCGATGAAACTAACAACGTAGTTCAAGTCGGCAAATAATGATGTTAAACATCTTTGTACAACTGAGGAAATGGGAGTTAAACCAAATGGGCAATGTTTGAATATCCATTGACGGCCATTCAGATCAGTAAAAGCAGTTGCTTTTCTACAGTGCTGCTATTAACCGGCTCACAAAAATATAATTTAAGATAACTTCTGCAGAAATGAAGCTAGACTCTTCAAATTTTGAGTGAATATTGCTTAAGTAACATAGTTTGATTGAACAAAATTTTATAAAATACTATTTAGGAAATTTGGGCGGAATATGAAAAAATGTAAAAATGACTGTAAAATCAATCAGGCTACAAAACATTAGCGCTTAGTATATCCACCTTTAGCCTTGATGACTTCTTCGATTCTTTTGGGCATGCTTTCGTAATACTTCTTCATGTCATCTTTAGTGAATTTATTCCATTCTTTATCGAATCTATCCCACAATTCATTCATATTTCTGGGCTTAGTGTCGTATGCATCTAACTTCAACTTGACATGGTGCCAAAGGTGTTCAATCGGATTTAAATCGGGACTATTTGGTGGCCAGTCTTCAATATACCTTATTCCATTGTCTGCAAGCCATTTTTTTGTGTATTGCGAGGTGTGTTTTGAGTCTCCGTCCTGTTGAAAGATGACTTCCTTGTTGATAAGACCAAAGTACTCAAGTGTATCCTTATACGAAGTAGCCAAGATATGGGTGTACAGTTCTGATTTCATAGGATACTCGATAATACGGCATGCGTAACCTACTCCTAATGATGTCATGCATCCCCAAACCATCATTGAGCCTCCGCCACCTTTTAATTGAGTCTGATAATTATGGGGTCGAAGTGGGTCGTCCTTATGCTTCCATGTAATCTGAGCTCCATCTGATCCCCATCTATTAATTTTGGTTTCGTCGGAAAATATAACCTTGTTCCAGTCCTCTACAGTCCAGTCACGGTGTTTTTTGGCCCATTGCAATCGCTTTTTCTGGTTGATTCTCTTGATGAAAGGCTTCTTTTTTTTATACAGAGAATTAAGGCCAAGGGATCTCATGAGTCTTGTTGTGGAAGAGTATTGAAATTTGTAACCAAGAGACCACAGATATCTTTGGACATCCTTTGCTGATAATAAGAATCCTTTTCGGACTCTAAAGATATGACTCGCTTTGTGTAATTGGACACAATACTGACTCTACCACCACGAGATTTAATGCGATCAGGATCATGTTCTTTTTTCATGCGAACAACTTGGGCTTTAGACACTCCAGTGGCTTGTACAATGTCCTTAGTACCCTTTCCGGCCTTGATCATTGAAATGACGTCATTTCGTTTGTCGTTACTGAGTTTATATGGCATTGTAGAGAAGTAGTTGTGAGAGGTAAAAGTGAGAGTGTAATGGGGAAAACTGTGTAAAAATGTCGCCTTTATATATTTTTCAGCTTCTCTACATCATAATGATACGTTATCATTGCATCAGGTACGCTAAAATAGAGTTTAAGGTACACTGAATCATATTTGTATCATTTTGCATTTAGCCCAAAATCAAGCTTTTTTTATTTGCAGCTTTGTGTAACCACATATGATTACGTCATTCTTCCTTTCTTATACTATGACGTTTGGGCTATCTAGTGGTCTTTATTTCGTAGCTCTGACGTAATTATTGCACTGTACAGATCATTTTATATTTTTGTGAGCCGGTTAATAGCAGCACTGTATCACATTTTCTGATGCGGAATGAATGAAAACATTGAGACAGATCAATCGTAGTGAATAGGGAATAGTGGTTCATTTTCCTATGTAGGTTGCTGATAACAGGTAAAGGGAATCTGTCTATTTTGGATAAATCGAGATTTCGATTCACTAGACGGCAGTCGATGACGACTCTTACAGTATGTCACCTGTATACTCTCCTGTTACGATATTCTTCTTCCTAACTGCGAGTAATGGCGAGTTGAAGGGATTATTCGGTGGAGATGGTGCAATAATGTCATTATCCTTCCACTTCTGAATCTGTTTTTCAACAGCTTCTCGGTAACATTCATCGATAGGATATTGTCTCCTATAGGCGGAGTGAATATCATCTTTCATGGGTAATTTGATTTCACTACCCTTGATGGTACAGTATGCATGGGGAGGTACTTTAGTATTAGCCTCTATATATGGTTGCAGTTGATTCATTATATATTGTTTCTGCTCTGGAGTACCACGGAAATCATTATTGGGTTCATTCGGAGTAGGGTCAATCAAAGGAATTTTATCGCCAACCTTATGTTCCCAATCCATAGCGATGTTGGATATTTGAATATTCAAAGTGAAAATCAAATGCATACCGATACAAACATGCACATTATTGAATAAATGGAAAACTTCAAATTTGGAATAATATACTTTGCAGTTATAAACTATCTCAAGTTCATCACAAGTGATTCCTATTCTGTCAATTGTATCATCATTAATCAATTTAATGGAACCTTTATTGTTATCAATATTTATTGTAAATGTAGGAATGTGGCTAATGATGGCGATATCGCCGAGAAGGAACATCCAGTGTCCAACAAAGCCCAGGTCCTAACATTTTCAATAATGACAGGTAGGTAGATAAACATGTCAGTAAATGACGAATCAGGTAATTGCTTGAAGTATGCAGTATCATACTTACAGTCAGCTTTCTCTTTTGCAGGTTTTGGAAGTGACCCACCAGTAGTAACATTGGTGGCTCCAGCCGCAGCAAAAGGCATATCTTCATCCGAGGATGACGAAGATGAGGAAGGTACATCGTCAGAGGAACGGTTTGAATCATCAATATCCATTTTCTCTGATTTCCTTCTATGCTGTTTCGAGGTTGGTAGTCTGTTCTTGTAGGAACTTCTCCTACTACTGTTTTTGTAACCTTTAGCTGGTTTACAGACATGGTCTTTGCTCCACCCAGGTTCACCGCATCTAAAACATTTTCTGCTGCTCAAGTTGCCTTGCTTCTTCTGACGTCGTAAAGTGATTCTACACGCGTCTGTCGAGTGACCGTACTTGTGGTGGTTGTCACAATATGCCCTGTTGTGAGGTCTATTACTATGAAAATTATGATAATTCTTCGTAACTCTGTGGTTGTCTTTGCGTGTACGATGGAAGGTCTTATGTGGATGGCGAAGTATTTTGTCTTTTGCCAATTTTGCTTGTAAGACCTTATCTTGTCGAAGGATTTTATATGAGCTGTGCAGTTGTTTTTCAATGAACTGCATTGTTACTTCACCA